TTTTCCACATTTATTCTTACTACCTGTGATTAATAATTTTAATAAAAAGTAATTATAGAAATAATTTATTATAAAAGGTAAGGTATTCAAACACAGATGACCTTATTGTTAATTATTAGTATAGGGCCCTTGATATAGTCTAAAAATTTATTTTGTATAATAATATTATATTTTGGAGCTATGTAAAATATTTAAGAATTAAGGAAATACATGTTTTTACTTTCTAAACTCTGATCCAATGCAGTACACTTCTATTTATTCCTCAGGATATGTTGCAACATATTAGAATTATATGTACACCTTTATCATTTTGGGGACTCAAATGCTTTTCCAAAGACTCTATCATGCTAATAAAATGTGTGTTATATTTGCCTATCTGTGTGCCTATATGTCTTGGTCCGTGTGGTGCTTTTACAACAGAACACCTGAGACTGGGTAATTTATAAAGAACCGAAAGTTATTTTCTCTAAGTTCTGGGGACTGGAAAGTCCAGAATCAAGACATCAGCATCTGGTTAGAGGTTTCTTGCTGCATCATCACATGGCAGAAGGAAGATAGGCAAAGAGGCAAAATGGGGCCAAACTTCCCTTTTTATAATGTAATTAATCCTACCCATGAGAGTGGAGCCCTCATGTCCTAATTATTTCTCTGAAATTCCACCTCTTAATACTCTAACAATGGTAATAAGCTTTCAACATGAGGACATGAGGTTTTGACGGAAAATACAATCAAAACACAACACTATGTATCTATTCAGTCATATTCAACTTCGTTTTGTAAGGAATTTAAAGTCACTCAAAAATATTTTGCACACATAGATGTGTACATACAAGAAGATCTTATGCCAGAACTGAAATTATTTTTGACTTAGGAGAAACCCTAAATGATTTAGATGATGCCCTGACACACTAATTAATGTACATCCAGAAGTATACAACCAAGGAAGGCGAGGAGGCTCTGAGACCTGCATGCTATAAGGAAAATGTACACAAGGCAGTTTAGCCCAAAGAGGAAAAGAGCTGAGGGTTTTATGATTGCCATTTTCAAGTATTTTTAGAAGAGTGTGACTTGTTCCGCTTTCTTCCAAAACCAGAAATGAAACATGTTATTAAAAATGACATTTCAGTTCAATATAAGGAGGAACTTTCTAGCACTCAACGCTGTTCCCAGGCTCCCAAAAAACTGTGCACTCATAAATTGAATAAATTGATTGAATCTGCACCACTATCTGATAGAAACATAGCAGAAGGAAATTCTACATGGATAAAATGACAGAGTCCTTTCTTTTTTCTTTCTCTCCGTCTCTCTCTCTCTCTTTTTTTTTTTTTTTTTTTTTTTTTTTGACAGGGTGTTGTCCTGTTGCCCAGGCTGGAATGCAGTGGTGCAATCTTGGCTCACTGCAACCTCTGCCTCTCAGGTTCAAGAAATTATCATGCCTCAGCCCATTGAGTTGCTGGGACTGCAGACACACACCATCATGCCTGCGTAATTTTTACATTTTTAGTAGAGATGGGGTTTCACCATGTTGGCCGGGCTGGTTTTGAACTCCTGGCCTCAAGTGGTCCTTCACCTCAGCCTCCCAAAGTGCTGGGATTACAGGCATGAGCCACAACACCTGGCCAAGTCCTTTCTCATCCTAATGCTTCTAACTAGAAACTTTGGAAAATTTATCTGCTATTTATGTCAATAATTTAATACAAGCTTCTCTCAATGAAATTATATTAATTCTAGCCAGGCTCACCTTTTATAATTATTAGAGTAGAAAATATCAGTGGTCTTTCTAATGGCAAATGACTACCACTTTCCTGCAGAGGACGTAACAACATAAACTGAAATAAGTCTGCCCTCACCTATTGCTCTTTCTGACAGCTAGAAAGGGAAAAAGGCAGAGTTCTTACTACTAATCTCTAGGGAATTTTTAAAAGTCCATGTTAAATTCCTTTTAAAAAAGATATGCATTAAATTTACACAGTGTTACTTCTGTGAATGATTATTTCTATTTTACTTCTTTGATTCATTTAAGAAGACTCATTACTATCTAGAAACAACAATAACAAAAAGGAAGGTAGGAAAGAAAGATACTTCTGCTACTCCACTCCAAATGCCATAACATATTAAAAGCAATATGCCACTGGGAAAAAATATCTGTGTATTTATTTTAATTCCAGGGGATTGTCATGGAGTTTAACATCTTTCCATGTCTCCATAGGGAACATATGATTTCCTAAAACAACAATCTGGAATGCCTATTTTAATTCCCCTCAGGAGGGCAGAATTTATAGTACTACTAATAAAATAATCAGCATCCTAATGGCACACGTGTTTTCTTTTTTCCTTAACTTCTAAAGCGTAACTCTAAAGGTTTTTACAAATGCATTAAAGTTCTACTTCTTAAGAAATTAGTTAGAAAGGAAAATTATGCTCATTTGCTTATTTAAGGAAAGCTACTCATTGTCTCTTCAAAAGAATCTCAATAGTCAATCTGATTAAAGTTTTTATACTAAAGGTAACAGCTCTATTGAGTTTTTAATTTTAAAATATTTCTCTCAAATGGCATATAATACTCAGCTTCTGGGTTCTGGGAAATGCATATTTCATACATATTAATTGCTATAAAAGAAGATTAATAACTTGATATTCGCTGCCCTAATCTCTCTTGCCTCCACATACCTCTTGTCTGAAATTGAAAACTGTAGCCAATTAGGACAGGGTAAAAATGAGACTTTATGATGAGCTGGCACATAGCAGGTAACCCATACTACATGCACATACACACATGTTGAATGATT